CATCTGCGACTCGCTGCTGTTGCCGCAGCAGCCGCTTTGGAGTGCGGCCGCGCGCCTGATCGGCGGCAGCGTGCTATTTGTGGTGGCGTGCGTCATTCAGCCGTCGCTCGCGGCGTGGGCGCGCCATCACGATAGGACACGGTGCTTGTGGCTCGTCGACGCGCTGTACACTTACCTCTCGTTCTGGGTCAGCATGCTTACGTGGAACGGCGTGTGGTACATCTACGACCAGGTGGTCGGCATCGGCCTTGCTCCCGCGCCGCCCGACTGGGCGCACGCGCGGCAGGGCGCGATTAGCCACGCGCTCGGGCTGCTGCTGCTCGGGTCGCTCGGCGCGCTGCGCAACAGCGTCGCCGCACCGATGGTCATCTCCTCGGACGCCGTCGCGCCGATCTTTGGCGCAGGTGTCACGGCGGGCGTGGGCACTTGGCTCAACCCGTTTGAGAGGCTGAAGCGCCCGCCCGCGGTGCAGTCGCGCGGGGACTGGCACCGGGCGGTGGGCGTGCCAGTGCTGTGAGCACAGTATGGAGTACTCTGTGGCCTCTTCACGCAGCCACGTCTTTTTGCGTTTTGGATACACAGAACATGTGCAAAGGCGATAACGCGGGCTTCGAGGACGTCCGTTGGCGTGTTGTGCGCAGTGAAACCACCCCGGGGCCAACCGTCTTCGGTTTCGTCGCTTCCAAGTGCACTATAACCCACGAAACCCGAAAAGAAAACGTGTACCCCTTCGAGTGTATCTCGAGTGTTGCTATGGAGCGTCCGTTTCAACACGCGCTCGCGCGCTCGCGTCTGCTGGCGCCCAGAGAACATGTTGCACCACATGCTCCCGGCGGAGCCCAACTGCTTGCACTCGACAAGGCAGTCCATCCACTCGCGGCAGCTGAAGTCGAACTTCCACTCGATGCGGCTCGCGCCGGATTGTGAGCTCGGCGAGCGAGGTCGGAGAGCGACCTCCAGTTGGCCCAAGCCGCACGCCACTGAGGCAGAGCGGCCGTGCGCGTACGACGCCGTACGCGCACGGCCACTCTGCACCGACCGCAGCGCTGCAATTGCGACCGCAGTGGCTCAGCTCAGCCAGGGCTCGCTCGCCCGAGCTCGGAGCCGCCGGCGGTCATGGGCAGCAACAAAGGTTTGACGCGTCGCTCGGTGCAGGAGGGCAATGCAGTGGAGGTGCAGTGGCCGTCCGGCGCGCGCGCGATGGGCTGCAGCTTCATTGGCAGCTACCAGAGCGCGTCTGGAGCGCTGCCATTGTGTGACCCACGTGCAAGCGGCGGTTCCGGCCTGTTCCGCGCCTCTTTTTACGCCTTTCATTGGAGAGGGGGGGGCGAGGTCTCATCAACTTCGAAACCGCCTTTGAAAGGGGGCAAATGCGTCCGTCCCTGAGACGGTTGGAAAGGGGGTGGTTTCACTGCGCTCCCCCAGCTCTCGGTATCGCGTACTGCACGAGGCTACCGTGGGCCCCGCCTGCGCGCTGGGGGTTCCCTGCCCTGTCGGGAAGCCTAGCTCTGAACCTGGGGTCGCTACCTAATGCGGGGCTCCTGGGGACGGGCGATGAAGTTCGCCTTGAATCTCTCGTCTCGCTTTCCCCCCGACTCGCGTCCGTCGGGGGTACTCCCTGCTCTGGCTCTCTGATCTCCCCCCCGCCCCCCCCCCCTCCTTCCCTCTCCGGGATGAGAAGCGCGCTGCTGTCCCTAGAGGGGGGTCGGGTGGTGAGGGAATTGATTAGGCCTCATGTTGTCCGCGGTCGCCCACGGACGATCGCCGGAGTGGGCCGAAGGACAGAGGCTTGCCTGTGTGGGGGCGCGCGGGCGCCCACTCAGGCTCGGCCTCCGTTGTCTCAGCCTTCAGTTCACCTCTCCTAGCGCCCGGTTTTGCGTGGCGACCTTCATTTCGGGGTCGAAGGTGCTACACACACTTGCCCCCTGGTGGTCTGGCACTCGGCGTTATACCTACTGGGGTTAGGCTGTTTTTCTTTTATTTTCTGAATTTCGGGGTGGTGTGCCAGAGGTTGGTATTGACGGCGCAGCCCCAGTGGCAGCCCGATGGCGGTGGCGTGGGGGACCGCGCGGGTGGTGGCGGTGCCGTCGAGCAGCTCGAGCAGCCATCGCACTTTGCTCTCCATCTGCACTTGGAGTCCCACAGCTGCGTGTGAATGGTGCACCAGCTAAGGCACTGCGTTTCTGCGGCATGCGCTGAACGCAAATGTGGCAGAACTGGCAGGGGCTCCCAAAGTCCGGAGCCCAGCTCACCAGAGCCAGCCTCCCCAGAGCCAGCCTCACCAGAGCCAGCCTCGCCCGTGCCAGCCCGAGCTGCAGATGGGAAGGAGAGCAGCAGGAGCAAGGCCACCACGCTGAGACTCCCGCTCAGCCGGGGTCGGACCGCCGCACCGGAGCGCGGCGCTCGCCGCCCCAGCAGCAGGCAGGCGTCGCACGCTTGGAGGAGCAACATCGCTAGCGTAGCGGCGAGGTCCTGGGCAGGCATTAAGGAGTATCACACAATCAACGCGGCTCGCGTCGCCGAGGCGAATGACGGATGGATGAACGTGCGTCCCGAGCGCCCACTAGGGCACAAATAAGAAGAAATTGCCGGCCGCTGCAGTGGCAAGACGAATCTATCCCAACGGACGCAGACGACGGGGAGAGCAGTACCGTGGGCGACGACATGCCTATCAACGGAGGAGGTACAACCATCCCACTCGACGACATCGGTGATCCTTGCCCGATTGGTTCCGTCGCTCCCCGGCGCACACCGGCCCGGAGCAAGGGTACCCTAGATTGCATTTCGGCGGGGGCGCGCATTAAAACAACATTGAGGCTACACACACGATCGTAAGGTAAGGTAAGGTAAGGTAAACTTCTCCACACACACGAGGTGGTGGGGCAAGGGGGGGCAACCCTCGCATCTCCACGTCTAACGACAGGAGCCCCACACGATCCGGTCCTCGAGCGCCTGAGCCCTTACCTTAGAATCGCGGGTCTGATGTCAGAATGTCTGTCAGAACATGTGCCGTGAAGAAGATAGAGTGCGACTACTGACGTACGAACGTACGAACGTACCGGGAAATCAAAACGGTGTCGCAGGAGGGCGCTCCCTGTACACGGCGCGCTGCGCGCTGTCACACACTGCTGTCACTGGTGCCAAGCGGCGAGCGATCGCAAGGCGCGGGGCGCTGCCCCTCACTCATGCCCGCTCGGCCACCTCCGCCCGGACCTTCCCGAGCTCCGCGTCGCGCGCCGCCACCGCCCCCTTCAGCTCCGCCACCTGGTCGAGCGCGTCGCCGAGCAGCCCCTTGGCCACGCCAAAGTCGCGCAGCTGCTCCACGCCGCCGCTCGCCCGCACCTCGGCGGCGTGGTCGGCCACGAAGCGGCGGCACTGCGCGAGGAGCCGCCCGTCGCCCGTCGTGTGCGCCGCCTCGAGCAGCGGCACGGCGCTCGCCGGCGCGACGCTTTCCTGCAGTGCCTGCGCGCAGAGCAGCTCGAGGCGCGGCACCTGGTACATCTGCGCCAGCTCCCGTAGGTCGAGCGCGCGCTGCGCTCTGCCGCCCACCGCCTCGCCGAGGTCGAACTTGTCGGAGAGGAGGTAGTCGATAAGGGCGGTGAAGCTGGCGAGGTCGGTGTTGCGCACCGTGACCTCGGCGGCGTCGCGCTCCTTCATGCCGATGCCAAACATCGTCCGAAAGACCGGGGACCGGGCGCAGAGGACGGCCTTGGTGACGTACTCGATGCGCTCCAGGTCGTCGCCGACCAGGAAGGTGACTTTCCCCTCTGGCAGGGAGGCGTCGCCCCGCGTCGTTGCGAGGTCGGCTCCAAGGGTCGAAGGCGGAACGACGATCGGGGCAAAGGAGGGAGGCGGAGGAGGCGCAGCCACGCAGACCTCGCGGAGGCCACCGCTCGAACTGACCAACAGCGTGCTGCCGTCGGAGCTGATGGCGACTTCATCTGGGCCGTCGAGCTGCGCCGCGTCGCCCACGCCGTCTTTCCTACCCCTGGTGCCACTGCCCGCGACCGTCGTCACCTCTCCCGTCGCCACCTCTACCCGCCGGATCTTGTGGTTCTCATAGTCCGCCACATACAGCGCGCCGCCGTCCGGGCTGATGGCGATGCCAGCTGGGTAGCGGAACTGCGCCGCGTCCGCGACGCCATCCGCGCCGCCATCCTCGCCGCCTCCAGCGAGCGTGGTCACCGCGCCAGTCGCCACCTCCACCCGCCGGATCTTGTTGCCGCAGGAGTCCGCCACAAACAGTGCACTCCCGTCGGAGCTGAGGGCGACTCCGGAGGGGCCGTCAAACTCCGCCGCGTCGCCCACACCATCCGCGTCGCCCACATCGCCGCCTCCAGCGAGCGTGGTCACAGCGCCCGTCGCCACCTCCAGCCGCCGGATCTTGTGGTTGCTGCAGTCCGCCACAAACGCCGCGCTCCCGTCCGGGCTGATGGCGATGCCGGCTGGGCCGTCGAACTGCGCCGCGTCGCCCACACCATCCGCGTCGCCCATGTTGCCGCTGCCCGCGAGCGTCGTCACAGCGCCAGTCGCCACCTCCACCCGCCGGATCTCGTTGGTGTCGTCTGCCACAAACACCGCGCTCCCGTCTGGGCTGGCAGCAACGGTGTAGAAGACTTCACTTGCCGGCAAGGCTGCTACGCGGCGCACGCGCCCGGCCGCCGAGACGTGCAGCAGCGAGTCCATGGTCGCGACGTACCAGGCGCCTGCGTGCTCGCTCGCGACGCCAACGAGGCCGTCCTCGCCCTCGAGCGGCAGCGTGGAGACCTGGCCGACGACGCGCGCGCCAAATATGGGCGCCTCGAAGCCATCCGCGACCGGCACGGGCTCCTCGTCCTCCTCCTCGCCGCCGCCGCCGGTGCGGGCGCGCTTGCGGGCGGCGGACGCCATATCAAAGAGATATATTTGCCACTTTCCGCACAAACATGGCACCCAACCCCAGCTGAAGCTCTCGACTCGTCGACCGAGCTCTGGACGATGCCGACCTCAAACCACCAGCGCCAGCAACGACGTGCCGCGGCTCGCCGCGCCGCTGTTGCGACCGACGACGTGCCCGACGCCGTCCCGCGGCCGAAAGGAAGAGGCCCGCGCAACCACTTCTGGGACCCGCGGCCGCCGGGCGTGCGGCGGCACAACGAGTCGAACGAACCGAACCAGCGCAGAGCGGCGCGTCTCGCGAGCGCCCGCGGCCGCCACGCCGACGCCGTCCGCGGCCGACGGTGGTCGCGAATCAACGCGGCGCGGTGCAATGAGGCCAAGTCCTTCCAGGCTCCCGCCAGCAGCGCCTCGTGGCGTGGGCTGCACGGCCCTTCGAGACGGCCCGGGGGGCGGTGAGAGACCTCTCCCGCCGGCATGGCGCACTATATCACCCGTAGAGGCCTCTCTATAGTCGCCTTTTGGCACCTCCTCTATCCACGCCGCCGATTAGACCTCGCCGCATGCATCGCATCGCCCCCTTCCCTGCCCCGTCGCCCTCCTGAGCTCTCCCTCCTTCGCTCCAGCCATGCACAGGACAGCTGGACCATTGGCCCGCGTGCCAGGCGTCCGGGACGGCCGGGTATCGGCTCCGTACTTTGAGCCCTCTTGGGCCACCCTCGCGTCCACCGGCCGGCAGAGCACCGCTTGGGCGACTCAGACGGCCCGCCCGACCCGCGCGTTCGATCGTGCCGCCCCCACAGCGTCAGTGGCGTGCGTGGGGTGGCAGGCGGCGTCAGCGCAGCCCCTCGTGGGGGTGCCCACCGCTCTCCTCTCACCGCTCCCCCCCGCCCGTGGCACCCCACACACTCGTCCCTCCTCAGGGGCGCAAGGCGGCACGGCACGTTCAGCGCTTGCCTCGGCCCACCTCGCCTTCACGCCCGCCACCGCGACCAAGGAGGTGGCCTCGGCGGCCCAGATGAAGCCCGTGCGGCTCGTTTGGGAGCCGCATGCCGTCCCTCTCTCGCCGGCGCTGCTCACCACGCCCAAGCCTACGCCGAGGAACCCGTCGCGCCCGTCGCTCACTCACGAGCTGGTGGCTCGCATCGACCGAGCCGTCCAGCTTTCTCACGCCCTGCCCACGATCAAATTCGAGACGACCAACATCCGACCACAAAAAAGGCCCGCGCGTGCTGCGCGGGCCGGCGAGCGACTAGCGAGCCAACCTGCTAGTACACACATATTTATGCATGGTATTGCAATAGTGATCTGATGTGTACGTGTGCGCCCTCGGCACTAAGCATCCAATGCGTGTTTTCTTGACGGCCGACCGTCTACAGTGCTTCACGGGTGGCTTTCGCACTTGAGCACTTGAGCACTGGATAGGGTCGATTCCGCATGGTACGGGACCCCTCGCCGAGACCACGCCCGAGGCAAGGTCCGCCCCAAGCCCGCGCTGACAGCACCCCTGGCCCAGCCCAAGGCCAGGGTCGTAGGTGTGGCCATCGCAAATCATTTCCCAAACGCAGCTCGGGCGGCCTCCAGATCCGACTATAACCCCCATCGGACTTTACCGAGCCGTCGGACTTTACCGCGACGCACGCCATACCACCGCACATCGCGGCGATCACGCCCGAGCTGAGGTCCGGGGACACGTACGTCGTCTCCGTCATCCCTCCCTTGCAATTCAGACAGGATCCTTTCTGAGAGGACACCCCCGTTGGGTCGCCTGCGCCCCTCTTTGGATGCCCCCACGCCACCGCCTTGCCGTCTTTCGTCACCGCGACGCATGCGTTCCCGCCGCACATTGCCGAGACCACGTTCGAGACCTCAGAAGGGATCACGGGGTCGCCATCAACAATATCTGCCGCTGCTCTTGCCAATGGCCTGCCTCTTCGCGTACCGTCACGACGAGGTGAGCTTCTGGGAGTTTCTGTTTTTGGATTGGCAATAATTGCTCATATACGATAGGTAGGTAGGTAGAAAGGTGAAGAACAGCCAGGCTCGGACTGGACACCATACGATCTGTTTCGGAAAAAGAAAATCCGCGACAAAGAATTCGGCCCGCGGCTTGCCTCGATGGCGGCGCGCGGCGAGACGGCTGAGACGGCTGACCACGTAGAGGCGGTCTTCAGAGGTGACGAAGTGGCGGTGCGTGTGTGGCTTGAGGGTGGAGGGCGAGCGAACGCCACCCGCGAGCGTCGGGGCGAGGAAGGCGAGGTGACTACTGGCGTAACGCTGCTGATGGACGCCGCCATCGAAGGCCACGAGCGGGTGGTCGAGGTGCTGCTGCAGCACGGTGCGGAGATCAACCTGCAGGACAGCGATGGCTGGACTGCGCTGGTGTGGGCCGCTTCCGAAGGTCACGATCAGGTGGTCGACCTTCTGCTGCGGCACGGCGCTGAGATCAACGCGCAGGACAGCAACGGCTGGACCGCGCTGATGGGCGCCGTCTTCGCAGGTCACGGGCGGGTGGTCGAGCTGCTGCTTCAGCACGGCGCGGAGGCCAACGTGCAGAGCAGCAAAGGCAGGCACCGCACCGCGCTGATGCTCGCCGCCATCAACGGCCACGAGCGGGTGCTTGACTTGCTGCTGAGGCACGGCGCTGATGCAGAGGTGCGGGACAACGACGGCGGCACCGCGCTGATGGCCGCCGCCGGCAAAGGCCGCCTCCCCGTCGTGCGCTGTCTACTGCAGGCGGGCGCAGACACAAAGGCACGCTCTGTGGCCGGCATGACGGCGCTGCAATACGCCAAGGAGGGGGCCAAGCTGGCTACTGCCGACGTTGCTGGTGGTGCTCCTGCAAAGTACCACGCCGGGTGTGTGCGCGCTCTCACGGAGCACGCAGCGGCACTGAAGGAGGCGGAGGCGGCAGAGAAGGCGGCAGCGAAGGCGCTCGAGGCCAAGGGGCGGCGCGAGCAGCGCGAGCGGGAGGAGGCGGCGGCGGCGCGAGAGCGCGAGCAGGCTGCGCGCCGGCGCGAAGCAGAACGAGAGGCGCGCGAGGCGCGCCGGGCGGCGGATGCGGCGGCGCTGGAGGAGCAGAGGCGGGCGATTGCGGCGGAGGCGGAGGCGAAGCTGGTTGCCGAGCGAGCGGCAGCAGAGGAGACGCTGCGGGCGAGGGAGGCGGAGAGGCGAGCAGCAGAGGAGGCGCAGCTTGCGGAGCAGCGGGTGGCGGCGGCGGCTCGGAAAGCGGCTCAGGCAGAGGCGGAGCGGCGCGAGAAGGAGGCTGCTGACAAGAGGGCGGAGGAGGAGAAGGCGAAGCGGCGCGCAAAGGCGGCGGAGGCGGCGGCGGCCAGGAAGGCGGCCAAGGAGAAGAACAATAAGGCCAAGAAGGCGCCGTCTGCCTGCACGCTCGAGGAGGAGCGGAGGGCGCGGGCTGCGGCAGAGGTTCGCGCACAGGAGGAGAGGGCGGCGCAGCTGGCTGCTGAGCAGGAGGCGGCGAGGCGGGCGGAGCGTGAGGCGGCTGAGCTAGCGGGTGCGGCGGAGCAGGCGGCGCTGCGCGAGGCTGCGGAGCTGGCAGAGGCGTTGCGCCGGTCAGAGATAGATGCGGAGGAGGAGGCTCTGGCGCGTCGGGTGTCGCGGTGCGAGGAGGCGGTGAGCAGCGAGTTGACCGGCGGCGGGGACCTGATGCGGCGTGTCGAGCGGCTGGAGGCGAGCCTCGGCGCGGCGATCGAGGGTAGCCTCGAGGAGCGGGTCGGCGCCATCGAGCGCTTGATCGGGCCAGAGGCGGGAGAGGCGGCGGAGCAGCATCTGCCAGTCACCGAGTCGCTTGCTGCCGTCTCGCTCGCGGACGCCGGCCTCGACACGGGGCGGCCGGCTGCCCCCGAGTCCACGATGGGGGGCGAGACCACGTGTATCGTGTGTTTCGCGAGAGTCAAGTCGCATGCTGCGGTCCCGTGCGGGCACCTGTGCGCTTGCGGGCCATGCTCTGAGCTGATGCAAGAGTGCCCGTATTGCCGCGAGCCGGTGATGATGTGGATGGTCCCGCGTCCGGTCTAGTTTTGCGGGCCAGATGTGTTGCAAGACCGGCTGCCGCGTGTTATTGAATTTGAATGGGGCAGGCGCGCGCGCGAAATCCCACGAAAGGGCGAGAGTACCGAGAGACACAGAGACACAGAACACAGTCAGACAGCTCAGACTGGGCTCCGTGGCGACGAAGGTCGCCCGGGACTGGCTCGCCAACGAGCTCTACGAGCCGTCCCGGCGCGGCAAAATTGATGCGGCCTGCACGCTGCAGGTGGACCGAAAGGTCGCCGACCTGATCACGGCTGCCGGCGCCTCGGCGCCGGCCGACGCCGTGTTCGGCGGCAGGTTCGCGACGGGCGAGGCGCCCCGCCCGACTACCTCCGCCTCCGAGGCGGACGAGGGCGACGGCGTCGGCGGCGATGGCGGGACCGGCACCCACTTTGACCTTTTCGAGCCGGACGGACCCCACCCCCATGGAGGACCTCTGAGGTCCTCCCCAGTCTCCCCCCACCCTACCTCTGCCCCCCCCTCCCCCCATCCCTCTGCCTCCCATAGGGCAGGATAGCACTAGCATATGCGCCTAGTGCGCACTGGGCCCTCATAGATGTGACCCGCCCACTCGAGTGCGGCGCCCAGGTGCTAGTGCTTGAGAAGACACCACAAACGCGGCACGGCCCATTTTGGCTGTCTGCGGAGATTCTGTCTTAGCACACACAGTGAGTCATTCGGAGTCATTCGATGGCCAGAGTGCGATTGTGTGTGTGCGGGAGTTGGTTTGTCGGGAGGGAGGGGCAGGCTGCTCACCGAGCTGTAGAGATGTAGAGCGCTGGAGAGCGCTGTAGAGCTGTAGAGCTCTACATCCGCCGCGGGACGAACTGCCTGCGTTGTAGAGCGATGTAGAGGCGCTCTACAACGTGAAATCTCTACAACAAACTCTACATCATAAGCGCGAACGAGGCACGGTCGCTCTCCGACATGAGGCGCGTTGCACTTGCCAGTGCTGCCCTGGCCTTCTGTCTGCCCGCCCAATGGGTGGGAGGTGCCTCTGCTGCTGTGGCATGCCTCACGGCTGCGACTGGCCGGCGCCTCGGCGCGTCAGCTCGGCTCGGCGTAGCGATCGTGGCCAGCGCAACTCGCTTGGACTCAACGCTCAGCCAGGAGCTCCCGCACGCGCTGGCGCGAGTCATGGCGCATGCAACGCGCCTGAATGCTCGCCTCGCCTCGCGCAAATGCGACCGTCCTCGCAGCCGACAGTCCACCGCCTGCTAAAGAAGCACAGCGACGAATGCGGCACCGGCGACGTATGGCAGGCTGGTCATGACGCAGTTATAGGGTGTTTTGTGCCGTCAGAGTGACTCTCTGTGTGTCAGGGATAGTCAGGGCCGTCCATCAGAGCTCCAGTAAGCTCGGAGACACCCCATTAGCGCGGCTCGACCTCTTTGAGTCACTGCCTTCCCGGCGGTTTGGCTGTAGAGCCTCTACAACAAACTCTGCAGCAAAATCGCGCCCTACATCGCTCTACAACGCAGGCAGTTCGTCACGCGGCGGATGTAGAGCTCTACAGCTCTACAGCGCTCTACATCTCTACAGCTCTACAGTGCTCTACACTCTACATCCTCTACACCCTCCCTCAGTGAGTGGTAGGGCCCCCAAGGGCCTATAGAAATCGCGCCTGCCTCTCCCTTTTTTCTCCCAGTAAGCTAAAAGTACGTACCCGTACACTTCGTCGCTTTCTCACACCGCGTTTGGATGCAAACTTGTGAAATTTTCAGTGAAACGGGATTCACATGAATTTCACATGTGATTGTGCGAAAGTGAAAGGGTGAAATTTCACTCACGAACCCTGTAGGCCAAGCTAGCGCACACTCGTCTCCGCTCCTGCCCCTCCCACCCGCACGGCCAACTCAGGCCGCGGCTGTGGCCTCCCACCGCTTGGTCCTCAACCCCTCGGCGTCGAACCAACGCCAGACGGCGAACTCCTGCTGCCTGCGCCACCGCCCCTCGCCTCGGCCCTCTGCGGGGGCGAGCTGCCGGCAGAGGCGGAGGAAAGCAAGCACATCCTCGGGGCGGCGCAACCTGCCGGAAGGCGCCAGGGGAGGGAGGGAAGGGGGGGGGGGGGGGGGGGGGGGGGAGGGGGGTGCGGGGTGGGGTGGGGGCGGGGGGGTGGGGGGTCGGGGGCCGGGGGGGGAGGGCAGAGGGGGGGGGGGCCTTTTTCCCCCCCCCGGGGGAAAAAAAGGGGCCCCCCCCCGGGGGCCCCCCCGGCGGGCACCTATTATAAACCCCCGGCCCCAAAGGGGGGGGGGGGGGGCCCCCCCCCGTTGGGGCCCCCCCCCCCCCTTCTTTGGGACCCTTTTCCCCCCAAAAGGGGGGAGGGCCCAAAACCCCTGGAAAAACCCCCCCGGGGGGGGCCCCCCTTTTTTTTTTTTTGCCCCCACCCCAAAGAACCCCCCCTTGGGGT